TGTTAGAATTTACAGTGTAATCTTGATTGAGAATGTATGCAGATACATGTAAATTGACCTGAATTTGATCAGAATTAAGTGATCGAGATTAATTAGAAACGATTGTTGGATTGTCGATGCCTCTGTCATGTGAGGACTTCATTATTCCACAACAAAAGAGACCCCTGGATATTTACTCAAAAATCTGCTCGGCCAGTTACCGCGAAGCCAGAAAACACACAGGGTAAGATAGCTAGGGTCATCGTCAGGTGCCTTGAAGAAGTGTCCACTCCCTCTATCTGGACACTGTCCGGACGTCCACCATGGCTGACCATCAGGCCCGGCTGGACGTCCTGAGAGATCATTGGATGCAGGTGCGGAACCTCTTTGCTGACCAGATCACACATTGTGATGGTAAAGATTCTCCTTGGAAAGAAGAGGATGTCTGTGCCATTGTCAACCACCTATCCCAGATTATACACCTTGTAACTGAAGAAGACTTATATACAAATGAGTCCAACCCTGGACCACTGCTACAGTTTCTCATCAGTGAAGACATCATGGGGAAAATGATAGATTGGACCCCCAGCGGATCCTTTACAGACAAGCTTCACTCAGAACAGCTGAAGATGTATCGAAGTCTCTTGTCTCAAAGTCCACAACCTGTCTTAAGTCATATCCCTGTGTTAGACCCCTTGTTGCAGCTTCTAAGAGTCGGTTTCGACTTGAAGGGACCAAACGTAGACGACAGGATATTTCTGTTGTACCAACTGTGTAGGAATCTTTGCGAGGATCCGACGTTGGTGAGGCAGTTTTGTGACGGAAAGAGTAGCGTGGGTTCGGAGAGGTTTGGTCTGATCCTTACTCTCCTGTTGGAAAACGTACACGACGGAGGTAGGACGGGACAACGTGCTCGTGACGCGCTCCTGGTCTGTCTCTCGCTGACAACGCAGAACGAAACAGTCGCCGCGTACATAGCAGAGAATTCCAACTTCTGTCCTGTAAGTGGGGATGTTACAGGATAGATATCATCCATTAGGCCATACCAATTTAATTTGTTGGTTCTCAGGATCGCCTCTTCATTTTTTCTGATTTACAAAAATAAAAAAGAAAATAAAGATTCTGGTTCTGAATCAACTTAAAAATGCTCATATTTTGCTCCCAACAGTTAAGAAAAGTCCTTATCTTCCGAAGTTTTGTAGCTTTTCTATCTATCATTTTTGCAGTGGTTTGATTAAAAGTTCAAAATTCATTGTTTAAATATTATCCCAGCCTTTTGTGTTGACTTCATAGCTTATTTGGGGCTATAATAGGATGCCCAGACTTGTTTTTATTTTTTTTATTTTTTCGCCCTGTCGCTTCATATTTTTTCTGAAAAAATCAGAGAACCAACAAATTAAATTGGTGTGGCCTTATACAACTATAGACCCATTCCAAGCTTTCCGTCCTTGGCTTGATTTTATCTGATATTATATCATATATATGATGGCACCTTATACACCATGTAATTGTATGAGACGTTCTGCCGATGTGCATATGCACAATTCGCACATGTAGGTGCAGTACATTCTGCCGATGTGCTAGCAAAGTCCACATGCCACAGTGTTGTGGTAAGAATAAGAGTCTCTACTTGTACTTTAAATCACAGAACTGTTTGTAAAATGACCAACCCAAGTTTTGAATAGGTGCCAAAATTACTTTCTAAAAAAAGTGAAAGAATATAAAAATGGATGCCGATTTGCCTTCATATCTTCAGTATGGCGGAATGTTGAATTGTTTTTTTTTAATTGCTTGTAGTTTTTTTCTTGTTTAACTCATGCAGGTCTGGTATTTATTATTAGCTGACCCAGTAACCTATTGAGAAAGGGTCCAAAACTGACCCCTACCCCGGGCCCCTCTATCACTGCATCAGACTCAGAGTAAAGTGGAGACACACATTTAGAACTCGCAGTCCTAAGGCCTAGGAAAAAACGTGTTTCCTGTTTCAGTCCTGAAAAAAATTAGGGTTGGTAGGTAGGGATTATCTTTTTTTTTTAGATTTCAGTGATATCTATTATGATGGTTAACCTATACAATACAGTTTAACATAGTAAAATGTGCATGAGGACACTTTTAGTTTCAATGTCAATGTTAGAAACCCAATTGTACAACGTTTTATCATTCAGATGTCAGATCATGGAGCTAGAGAAGGTTGATCAGCTCGAAAAATTATTTATGTACCTTGCAGGGGTCCACCCCCCAAAAAGGTCTAGGGTCGGCAGGTTTTTCTAGGGTCAGTCAGGAAAAGAGGAAACACAACATTTTTTTCCTAGGACCAGCAAATAGTAACTTGCTAGATACTTTTACAAGGCTCCTTCAAATATCTTTAATTCAAATCCTGATGTTTTCTTATTATATATATTAATGCTAATGTTACGTGAGCCTTCAGTTTATAACCTAGTTCTTTGCAGACATCCTAATAATATACCCACTGAAAGTATTTCAGTGGGACTTGCTAAGTGTAAACTAAGAAGATGCTAAGTACTGCCTAAAATAGCTCCCAGCAGTCCTTATTACTGTCCCACTTTCACACAGCCAGGCAGCTGGGCTATTCTAAATCAGGCCACAGCAAGTAAATTTTATGGATGACATCCTCCACAGACTCCAATTTGTCCAAATCTAATGCAAGTGGGCAAAAAAAACAAGTCGGGTCGAAAAAAACAAGGTTCCTACATTTTCAAATTTTGACTAAAACATTGTACAAATGACTTTGATTCAGTGGGAACATCACATATACACAGCCAGCATCACGCATGTATCAAAGTAAGAAACAAAGCATTAAATCAGAACCTTTTTTTGTCTCCTCTCTTCATATAGGTATCTGCCATCCACATTCCGGCATGGCAACAGACATCTTTGCCCATTTTCGGCATGTTGACCACTGTCAGAGGGCAACAAAATTTCTTGTTTTTTCCCCCCAAATCAGGCGAAAAGTAATGTGCGCACTGATGTCATCCATAAAAATTACTTGCTGTGGCCTTACCAGTCACACAGCTTTCAGATCGCTCCCGAGCAAATTGGTAATTACAGCTTTGGTAAATGAGGGGCTTTAGATAATAAGTGTCTTTATACACATTGTCGGTAAACTACCATGACATCAGTGCGCACATTGATTTTTGCCTGGTTTTGGGAAAAAAACAAGAAATTTTGTTGCCCTTTGACAGTGTTCAACATGCTGAAAATGGGCAAAATGGCTACTCTCCAAGTAGAGGTTTGGGTTTTGGGGGTATTTTTAGCATGTTTTTTGGCTTTTTTATCGGGGTTTCTCTTTTGCACTGAATTTTTTTCCCCACCAAACCCAACCTCTGCCAGCAGTCGAAAGCTTCAATGGGCTATAAAAAAATGGATATCCCTACTCTCATGTCCCTAATAAACATACCCCCCGGAATAAACATACCCCCCGGACAAATCTTCAAAGTCTAATAAACATACCCTCCGGAATAAACGTACCCCCCGGAAAATGACCAAATTGACAGGTGAACTGTGTGTCCATGATACTAAAATGTGCTCTTTATTTCAATACCAATATATGGGCAAATCTTTCACTGTTACATTTAATTAGTGAGTATATATCACTTTAATTAATGAGTATATATATATTGTACTTGTTTTGGGGAAATACAAAATCCGTAGGAGAAGCTATGCATTTTACACTTCTGAAATGCACTTTGCTAAGCCTTCTCCTGCAACTTGAGTTG